TCGGTCAATCAACTGCATAGTTCTTACAGAAATGATAACAAAACCTAGCTTACAGAGCTGAAAAAAGAATTGTCACGAGTGTAATATTACCAAAAAATGACTAGTGGTCCTTGAAAAAAGAATAAAATCTTATGTTTCTGGGGTCCTGTATAAAGTTTATTGGTAAGACGTCCAGAGAATTCAACATAGTAATTCTTGTGGACTTCTCAGTATCACTTTCAGTATCACTAATCTATAGTATGGGCCAGGGGTAGGCAACCTTGGCTCTTTTATGACTCGTGGACTTCAACTCCCAGAGTTCCTGAGCCAGCCATGCTGAGGGGAAAAGGAGAGGTTTCCAAGCTGAGCCATGCTGGCTCAGGAATTCTGGGAGTTGAAGTCCACAAGTCATAAAAGAGCCAAGGTTGCCTACCTCTGGCCTAGGCCTAGGCCGCTTTATGACTCGTGGACTTCAACTCCCAGAATTCCTGAGCCGGCATGGCTCAGCTTGGAAACCTCTCCCTTTCCCCTCAGCATGGCTGGCTCAGGAATTCTGGGAGTTGAAGTCCACGAGTCATAAAAGAGGCAAGTTTTCTATCATCTAGGCCAGGGGTAGGCAACCTTGGCTCTTTTATGACTCGTGGACTTCAACTCCCAGAATTCCTGAGCCAGCCACGCTGAGGGGAAAGGGAGAGGTTTCCAAGCTGAGCCATTCTGGCTCAGGAATTCTGGGAGTTGAAGTCCACGAGTCATAAAAGAGCCAAGGTTGCCTACCCCTGGTATGGGCAATGCAGTGTCAGGAGATAATAGCATTTTTTACTTGGGAAGCCCATCTCACAACTGAAAAAAAAATGCTGATTTTTTTTTAAAAAAAACTAAATAATGTTTACCTTCAGCGACAGAAAAGCAACAGAGTTCTGGACCTACACAGCAGTGTCACTGCCTCCTCCTCCTCTGCCACCACATGAGTGCAGAATATTCCTCAGAAAGGAAAGAGAGAGGACAGGAAGGAACAGCATACAGCCAGAGGTCTGCTGCCTTCCAATCTGTCAAAACTGAAACATAAGAAAGGAAACAAGTTTGGTCTAACTGCTGGGTAATTTTGCCAGATTTGGAATGGCAGTGCAGAAACACCTGACAGATGAAAAAGCAATAGAAAATGCACCTGTACCTAGAGCAGGGGTCTTCAAACTTGGCCCCTTTTATGACTTGTGGACTTCAACTCCCAGAATTCCTCAGCCAGGCACGCCTGGCTGAGGAATTCTGGGAGTTGAAGTCCACAAGTCATAAAAGGGGCCAAGTTTGAAGACCCCTGACCTAGAGCAACAAGGATCAATACATGGTGAAAAGCAACTACCAAAATAGTAAACAACACTGGGAAAACAGAGTTTGATTAGGAGGATGCATTTCACTGTGCTCATGCAACACGATCAGGTTAAAGATGCAGCAGGTGCATTAAATCTGATTGGTGTTTATTCGTGTTAGAATTGGGAAGAAAAGGTTTTTGGGTGTGCACATGGATGACTTAGCACGTTGCGTGAACCTATACTATATGGCCTACACTACATCACTGTTGTGTAAACACACCATTGTCCTTTTTCTGAAAAACATTCACGGCAGCGTAAAACAATATTGGGCCACGTTACAGTTACTAATAACTGTTATTAAATATAATGCAATACAATTCTATTATAAAATAATAGTGGGAGTATGCCTGTAGACATAACACCCACAGAGTAAACAAACTACTCCAATTCCACCCAGTGCAGATGAATTAGCTTTCCTTTGGGAGAGACAGATTACAATGCAAAAAGTGGCAAACAGCCATGCGTCACAAAGCAGGGAAATGAAAGAAAAATATGATGCGTACTCTGATGCTATGAATTATACAAACTATTTCTCTGTTAAACGAGCTTTCTTCAATGAAATAAGGTATAAACAGCACAAAATGTTCCTTCTCACTGTATATAAACAACTGCCTCTTAATGAAGAGAAGGACGAGGGGGGACATGATAGCAGTGTTCCAATATCTCAGGGGCTGCCACAAAGAAGAGGGAGTCAAGCTATTCTCCAAGGCGCCTGAAGGCAGGACGAGAAGCAACGGATGGAAACTAATCAAGGAGAGAAGCAACTTAGAACTAAGGAGAAACTTCCTGACAGTTAGAACAATTAACCAGTGGAACAACCTGCCTCCAGAAGCAGTGAATGCTCCAACACTGGAAGTTTTTAAGAAGAGACTGGACAGCCACTTGTTTGAAATGGTGTAGGGTTCCTGCCTGAGCAGGGGGTTGGACTCGATGACCTCCAAGGTCCCTTCCAACTTTATTATTATTATTATTATTATTATTATTATTATTATTATTATTATTATTATTATTATTATAAAACAAATTTTCTTTACAAACTGCCCAGATTCAAGGTTCATTTTGCGAAGGACTTCCTCAAAAATTAAATTTAACACTTCCAATTGTTCCCTTCTCCAATATTTCAGCCGTGCCTGAAAAATACCACCACGTTCACTCCTTTATCTCGTTGGATTTATGTAATGGCCTGTTATTTCCAATTCCAAGCTACGGCCTTTTTCTTTTATTAGAGGATTTGGGAACGTCTGCTTGCTTTACTCCCCAATGAATCAAGTACAATGCCCAGGTTGCTTCTTTCATTTTCCAAAAGGTTTAAAACTCATAACGCTGGGCGTTAAGGTCCTTCTGCATTGGAACAGGCTCCTCTCTTCCCTCGGAGAACTGGTTAAGACAGGGGTAGGCAACCTTGGCTCTTTTAGGACTCGTGGACTTCAACTCCCAGAATTCCTGAGCCAGCCATGCTGGCTCAGGAATTCTGGGAGTTGAAGTCCACCAGTCGTAAAAGAGCCAAGGCTGCCTATATGCAAAGAAGCCATTGCACTCTGCCATGCAGATGAAGCCAGAAGCAAATCCCACCCTAGCCCCTTATTCCACCCCCCCGATTATTCAGATAATTATTCAGGTGTTTATTACCTTTTTCCACTTCCCCGCTGCTCTCTTTCATGGAGCTGTGTCACAAAATCCCCGAACTTCATCTCCTCCCTGCTGGACTTCGGTTTGAAGTTTTTCACGTTTGCCATCTTCTTCTCGTCGTAGTATAGAAACTTGTGGGTGCTGGCTCGGTACACCGAGAAGTCCCCGTTCCCAATATTCTCCTGCAGGTAATCCAGGTCCCACTTCAGGGCGGGATACACCAGGTCGGTGTCGGTGAGCACCACCGGCTCCTGGAAGCAAAGACAGAGCGGAGGTCAGGCAAAGGAAGAGCCTGCCGAAACACACACACACACACAACACACAACACACACACACACACCTCGTTCTCCAGCAGCTCCTCGGCGCGCGGGTCTCCGTGGCGCAGCCGGGCGATCGGCCGCGTGGCGAAGCCGTAGTGCCGGAACTGCGCCTCGCTCCACCCGCGCAGCTCCGCCGTCGGCGGAGAGTAGGAAGCCTCCGCAGCTACGGAGCGAGATGCCGATGTCTCCTCCATCGTTACCGGATATAGCGCCGCCTCCGACGCTGCCGCGCCCAGAAGCCGACGAGGCACGCATCCGGGGTAGGCTTGGCGGGCCGGAACTTCTGGCGCGGAGTTGCCCGCTCTAGGAAATAGGACCCCCGAGGATGTTCAGCGCCCCCTCGTGATGGTCTTCCTGGCCTGCGAGCTTCGAGTCGCCTGGCCGTTCCAGTTCTGGCATGGCGCCCTGGTAGGCCACCTTGGCTCTTTTATGACTCGTGGACTTCAACTCCCAGAATTCCGGAGCCAGCTTGGCTCAGCTTGGAAACCTCTCCCTTTCCCCTCAGCATGGCTGGCTCAGGAATTCTGGGAGTTGAAGTCCACGAGTCATAAAAGAGCCAAGGTTGCCTAACCCCTGGGCAAGGGCGACTGCTGGAAAAGGACCTTCCTAGGATTGCCAGGTGTCCACTATTTGAGTGGACAGTCCACTTTTTTCACATTATGTTCACTATTTTTTTTCACAAAATAGTGGACATTTTTTTTATTCAAAAGCTTTATGATGAAATGGTGCGTAATCTAAAGCTGTACAGTCTACTTTTTTTACTACTTAACCCCCCCCCCCCCACTTGTCCGCTATTTTTTTGGAAGCAGACCTGGCAACCCTAGACCTTCCCAGTGGATGTGCACTGCCAGGAGTCAGAATGGGGAACTTGCAGCCCTTGGGCCCAGCGGCCAATCTCAGAATATTAAACTCTTTATTCAGAAATCTGTTCAGGAGCCCCAAGATTTTCCTGCGATCTTTCTTTAAAATTTAAAAAAATGTATACCATTATTATTATTGTTGTTGTTGTTATTGTTTTTGTTTTGTTGTTGTTATTATTATTTAAAAAATGGCAATTTAACTGCATTTACAAATGTAAGTGGCTATAAGCAATCAATGTCCCCAAACCTGCAAGCAGCCATAAACAGCGAACAGAAGAGGGCTACTTAAAAGGAGAAAGAAATGAAGTCTTTCTGAGCAAAGCCTTTACTCAAAATAAAAAGCCCTTTCTGAGCGTCTTCTCAATGTTCCTAGTACTGTTTTTTGTTTAGAGAAAGCTAGTCTGCTTTTGGATCAGTCTACCCAAGAGGGCATTATCACTTTAAAATCTAAGCATAACCATCAGAATCCAGTTAACCGAAGTGGATTAACTTTGCCAGGATCTACATGGGGATAGTGCCCCTCTCCTGGTCTTAATAGCTCGGCCAGCTGCTTTTAATACCATTTAATACTTTTAATCAATGTTTTTCGTGCATGTACTGTTTGTCTTTAAGTTGTGAGCAGCCGAGTAGGTTGCAGTGCCCCCCACACACACACACTGGCTGAGAGATACATAAAATACATAAAATAAATATGCGGGGCTCGCTGGGCTCTCCAGGTGGCTACGGAGGAATAAAGAGGTTGCATCCTTCCGGCTTGAGAAGCGAAGTGGGGGCAGACCTGGCGTCTGGCGCCCCCTCACGGCGCAAGCTGTTTCCGGGTGAGCCCTGAGAACAGCGGCTCTCTTTCAGGGAAACTCTATGGCCGATCAGAAGTCCTCCAGCCTTCAGCTTCGACCCGGCGCCCGCCCTTGACGGACGCGATGGCCGCTGTCGTTGCGCTGGGCCGCCTCCGCGCCCTCCTCCGCCCGCTCGCCTGCCCGTTGACACCGGGACATGGCAGCAGCCGCCGCCTCGGTCCGTGAGTGCCTCTGCGCCCCGGGCGGGGAAAGGAGGCGGCCTTGCAGGTTGGGCTCTGGGAGGGACAGACGACCCCCCCCCCATATTGCGGAGGCCGCTCTGGGCAGCCCGCCTCGTAGGGCTCCATCTGCTTCCTAACCGTCTCGCGTGACGGGGGCATCAGGCCGCTCCTTTGCCCTAGGACGGGTAGGCAACCTTGGCTCTTTTATGACTCGGGGACTTCAACTCCCAGAATTCCTGAGCCAGCATGGCTCAGCTTGGAAACCTCTCCCTTTCCCCACAGCATGGCTGGCTCTGGAATTCTGGGCGTTGAAGTCCACGAGTCATAAAAGAGCCAAGGTTGCCTACCCCGCATCTCAGCTCAAAATGTGTGTAAATGGTTCGTATTTATGACGGTTGCAGTACCCCGGGGTCAGGTGACCATCCTTTGCGACCTTCTGACAAGCAAAGTCAATGGGGAAGCCAGATTCGTTTAACAACCACGTTACTAATTTAACACCTGCAGTGATTCACTTAACACATGTGGCAAGAAAAGTCATAAATTGGGACAACGTTCACTTTAACAAATTTCTCAATTAGCAACATAAATTTTGGGCTTAATTGTGGTCGTAAGTTGAGGACTACCTGTACCTTGTTGGTGTCGTCAGTAAAAATAAAGAGAGCCACTTTTGGGGGTTTTTTTGAAAAATTTCTATTAATTTTTTCCATATAATTCAATAGTGCTTAACAACATGTTGTCTCAGTTTATCATTCACTAATACAAATTTAATTCTTAATTGTTTATTCTTTTCTCCAACCATTGATAAAACAAGTCCCAAGTCTGATAGTATTCTGTTTCTTCTTTTTCTTTCAACCTCATAGTCAGTCTGTCCATTTCTGCACATTCTAATATTTTTTTAATTATTTCTTCTAATGGTAATTCTTCCCTTTTCCAATATTGTGCAAATATGATTCTTGCCGCTGTTATCACATGTAAAATCAAATATATACTTTGTTTAGCAATCTTTTCTGGCATAATATTTAATAAAAAAAAGTTCCGGTTTAAAATCTACATGTTTCCCCAACATCTTTTCTAGCCAAGTATGTATTTTTTCCAGTACCTCTTTGTTTCAACACATGTCCTCCATACATGATAATAAGTACCTGCCTTATATTTACATTTCCAACATCTATCTGACATATTTTTAAACACTTTTGCCAATCTTGCTGGTGGCATGTGCCATCTATCAAACATTTTATATAAATTTTCTTTATAAGAAGCTGCCATTGTCAGTTTATAATTTCTTTCCCACAAGTTTTGCCATTTTTCTAATTCTACTTTATATCCAAAGTTCTTCGCCCATGTTATTATTGTTTCTTTAACTTGTTCATCTTCCATTTTCAAATTCAATAAAAATGTATAAATTTTCTTAATTAGTTTCTCATCAGAGCTTAATAATGCCAGATCAAACAAGGTCTGCTCTTTATAAAATCCATTCAGTTTGACATCTTTATCATATCTAACTTGCATTAATAAGAATGGATAACTCTCAGAAACTAAAGGTTGTTATATTTGGAGGGATATGATTTACAACTTGGTTGGCACACCTTTTTATGGTATGGGAAAAATAAAATGCATAAGTACTTTCAGAACCGCTATATAAGAAACGCATTACTATTAACATGGGAAAAAATAAAATGTAAAATATATTTGAAAATACCAGGATGGCTTTCAACAATGGAAGCATTTATACATCCAAATTTAGTTAAATTTAGTGAGAAAATATGGACATATAGAGATATAAAGAGAGCCACTTTGGTCTAGTGGTTAAGGCACCACACTAGAAAGCTATTCTATTCCGGTCCATTCCATTCCATCATGAGTTCTAGTCCTGCCTTAACCATTGAAAGCCAGTTGGCTACTTTGGGTCAATCCCTCTCTCTCAGCCCAACTCACCTCACAGAATGGTTGTTGTGGAGAAAATAGGAGAAGGAAGATGTGTTGAATATATTCACCAACTTGACTTATTTGTAAAACACAGGTTATATATAAATAAGTAATCCAGACTTTATCATCTGCACTGCACATCTTTTCTCTACACTATCTTTCAGCTGTTGCTCTTTCTGCTTTTAGCTTCGAATCTGCCCAAACATCTGCTTCCAGGGGCATACCCCAAGACTCCAAAAGAGCAGGCAGCTGCTGCAAAGAAATACAACCTGACACTGGAGGACTATAAGCCATATGCAGATGATGGTTTGGGGTAGGTTGCATTTGTATATCCAAGAAACCAAATATTGTACAAAGTTAGGAACAAATGTTGTGATATCAGGATTGTGGAGCGTTTATCTCTATATGCCTATCATAGCCTCATAATAATAAATGACTTCCATAGTTGGCATTCATTGGGAAATGAGTACAATCTTTAAAAATATAAATCTAGGTTAAAGGCAGATTTACATTTGGAAGGAATAGTGGAATCACATCTGCAACATTATTTAAATCAGAAATGTAAATGTTCACTTAGCAGTTTGTGTATTATTTCCAATGGTACGTATACCCAGTATGCTGATCTAAATCATGGAAGGTCCTGTTCCCCTCACCAAGCATTTGTAACAACAGTGTGTTAAGCAGTGTGGCTTGCTTTAGAATTAAACTGTTAATCAGTTCATTGAATTGTTAGTATGGCTTCCCTTAGAATTAAATTGGAGCCCATTCTAGCCCTGTAATTTCAAAAATCAAAACGTTAAATTTTCTTGTTTCATCAAGTGATAAATATCCTGCATTTCTTTGATGAACAATTGTTTTTCTTATAATGTTGGAACAAGACTGTATCATGTTGAATTTGCAACAAAGAGTGAAAAGGGTGAAAAAATGTACTAGTTTGATAGTGGAGACATTTCTAGCAGGAATGCTTGTTTAAATTAAATGTGTAAGATATTCAAATGTTTGTTGGTTGTATTAATTACTTTCTCCTCCATTTTGGAGGACTGAATTCATCTGGCAGTTACTTTGTCTAAAATAAGAATAGGCAATATGTTTGTGATTAGATCCCCATACTTAAAAATGCACAATTCAACCTCCAAGAGACAAAGGAACATGATAGTGTGATACTTTTGTCACTGCAAGGCTTAGCCATCATTTTCAGCCCTCTTGTTGAGTTTTTTAAGTTTGGCAGATAGAACATTATCTTTTTTCTTATTTTAAATCACTAGTAAATTGTATTGTTATTTGTTGATTTAAGTACTGAAAAGATTTAGGAGCAACTTGGGTCCATAAAAAGCTTGCTCTTGGTCTAAAGCTTTGTTCTCATATTTTCACAGTTATGGTGACTATCCCAAACTCCCAGATCAATCCGTAGAAGAAAAAAATCCTTGGTATGAATGGGATTATCGTGACCTGAGGCGCAATTTTGGAGAACCAGTAAGAAGAAGAATTAATTTGGGGTCTACCTATCTTTCAATTCAGTTTGTAATCCAGAATTCCGTATTAAAATTAATGAGTAAGGGAATATCTGAGTGCAATAATATATTTGGTAGAACGTTTAATCCTTCCATGAGTCCAATACTCAAGCATATTCTGTATATCAGCACTGAAATCCCCACTTTGATTCTGGTATTGACATTTTTTTTGTGTCCTGAAAAGGAATAAAATACTTGAATAGAATAGAGCTGGAAGGGACCTTGGAGGTCTTCTAGTCCAGCCCCCCACTCAAGCAGGAGAACCTATACCATTTCAGACAAGTGACTGTCTAGCCTCTTCTTAAAAATTTCCAGTGATGGAGTGCCCACGGTTTCTGGAGGCAAGCTGTTCCACTGGTTAATTGTCCTCAGTGTCAGAAAGTTTCTCCTTAATTCTAGGTTGCTTCTCTCTTTGTTCAGTTTCCAACCATTGTTTCTTGTCCTGCCCTCTGGTGCTTTGGTGAATAACGTGAGGTTTATCTGGGTAAGGAGCATAGAATCGTTTGAGCAGTCGGGGCTCTAACATGTTTCTTGTGAACTTGCTTGTTTTGGGATGCGGGGAGGTCTTTCCATGCTACAAGGTATTGTGTTGTTCACCTTCTACCATGATGGGTTATGGCCTTGGGAGGGCCGCTTGGCCGTAAAGGCGAGGTTACTTCAGGTTTTAGAAGGTTGCAATGAAACACAAGGTGGACCTGTCTTATAGTTTTTGGTAGCTTCAGTTCTACCCTGATAGGGTTTATAATGCGTGTGATGGGGAAAGATCCTACAAATTTTGAGCCTAATTTCTTAGAGGGTTGTAGGAACTGGAGATATCGAGTAGATAGGTAGACTCAATCTCCAATGTGGAACAGCTTAGGTTCTACTCTTTTCTGCTTGTGCTTTGTAGGCTGCTCTGGCTTTGTCTAGGGCTTTGCAAATGATTGGCCAGGTATTTTCCAGCTGGTCAATCCATTCCTTCAACAAGGAAGGGCTTGTTGGCTGGCAATTCGGGTATTGGGTTAAAGTCTTGCCTGGTGGCAACTCGGAAAGGGGTGAAGCCAGTGCTAGTGTGTACACAATTGTTATAAGCAACCTCTGCAAAAGGCAAGAGGTCAGTCCAGTTATCTTGTTGATAGTTAATAAAGCATCTCAAATACTGTTCTAGAACTGAGTTTGTTCGTTCTGTGCCCCCATTAGTTTGAGGATGGTTACTAGTACACAGATCCTGATGTGCCCCCAAAAGGTCCAGAAAGGCTCTCCAGAACTTTGAAGTGAATTGGACCCTCCTATCCAAAATTATTCAACGTGGGGCCCCATGTAAGCGGTATATGTGACGAAGGAAAAGCTTTGCTAGGGTCTTAGACATGGGGATCTTCTGACATGGGATGAAGTGGACCTGTTTTGAGATTAGGTCAGTTACTACCCAAATCACTGTATTCCCCGTGCTTTCTGGCAACTCTATGATGAAATCCATAGGATCTCTCTCCAGGGTGCTCAAGGATCAGGCACCGATTGCAGAAGGCCCGGTGTTTTCCCTTGCCTCCATTTGGCTGTTGCTCAGGTGGGGCAGCTAGCCACGTAGCTCTCAATGTCCTCCTTTAGGGAAGGCCACCAAAATTGTCTCTTTAAAAGGTGGAGGTTTTTTATGAATCCAAAGTGCCCCACCAGTTTCGAATCATGGCAGGTTTGCATAGTTTTTAGTACAACTTCCCCCTAGCCAGGCCAGCCCTTCTCGCATCGAGCAAAAGTTCTTGTGGCTCAGGAACCACTCGTCTTTCTCCAGGGCCTGCTTGAAAGTGAGGGTGGTGGTGTTGTCTAGTGGTTGGGCTCCTCTTGTTTACATTGGAGCAGGGGCTTCACTGGAGCCACCAGTTGTTTTGCTGGGAGCAGGGACTTGACAATTTCTCTTTTGGAACTATTAGACTGGGGCAGCCTCGACAAAGCATCGGGCAGAGAAAGCAGGCAGGATCTGAAGTTTCCCACGCAAAAACGTTAGGTTAAACCCGATTGTTCAAAACCCCTCCCAACTGCCCGGTCCATAGGGAACCAATCCAAAGGTGTTGTGAGAACACCCAGGCGTCTTCCAAGGTGTTGAGTCTTTGGCGAGGCAAAGCAGATGGTCCCAGGCTCTTCCCTCCCCCTCCCATTTCCAAGGAAGGTACATCAAAGCAAAGAGGAACAAAGTAAACAAAGCAAAGCTAAGCACATCACAAGAGAGCTCCAAAGGTCCCCCCTCCCATCAGAATGGCAGCATCCTAACAAGGATCTATAAGGACCTGACATGCACAAAGATATATAACAAGCCTGTTACTGCAGTATTTAATCCTGTCTCTTCCTATCTTTTTTTTTTTTTAACCAGTTGCATCGGAGCTTAGATTTATATGTACGGACACGGGTTGATACGTCCCCGACCCCCATTTCCTGGCATATCATGAAGAGGTATTTTTGGGGGTTTATTGGAATCATGTTGTTCATGGCTTTTGTTGGCGAAATATTTCCATGCTACCAACCAGTGGTAAGTTCTGAATCTACTTTTTTTTTTTTTTCCAAGAGATCTTGAATCTCTGGTTGGGGTGATCTGCCAAAGTTCCCGCCTAAATTCTAGCGCCTCGTACAATTTAGGAAAGGGAAAACTCTCTCATCTAGTAAAAGCAATTAACTAGAATCTTAGAATCCCCTCTCAGTTGTGTGTCGTTTCAAGAAGTAGGATAGTGATAGAAGATGGCATTACTTGTGGGTTTGTTTTCAGTTGTGGGGGGTGTCTTTGGTGGATATGAGTGCAAAAGATTTAATCCAGTCAAGAAGAGCTGCTGTTGTTAAAAGGAAGAGACATTATTCGACATAGATGTCTTCCCAATTACAAAAGAGAGAGAGAGGAGATACTTTCCAAGTAGAGTTAAAACAGCTTAGGGTTAGCAAGTTGATCCAGAAATTTCAGACTTTGGTCCCCAAAAATAAACCTCTCGTATGAATATCATTTTTAGACCAATTTTTTACTAGCTGAATTTTTGTTCTCTTTAAGATCTGATGCAAGTTGTCCTTTGCATTTTTTTTTTAACTTTGTGCATAAGAGATGTGACTTTGGAATTTTTTCTTAACGTTTAATTCAAGGATGTTTTCTTTACTGGCGGGAAAACAGAATCTTGGAATTACCAGTGTAAGTTTCTTTCTGTGGTACTGTAAATGGAAAGTATCCCACCTCTTTGGATGGAAAAAAAATCGCTGATAGAAAGAATAATGAGTAGTTTTTTGGGATTTTAAAAAAAAACTTGAATCTTGGATACAATGAGTATATTTGATACTTATGTATTGTTCTTCGCTTTAAAATTACAGTATAATCCTTGCATCATTTTAAAGTTGTCAGTTCCTTCTAATGTGATGCTACAGCCCAAAGTATTCCAGGCACTTCTGCCCTACAGTAGTGGCCAAAATTGTGGAAACCTTTTGGGAAAAGTGTATTTTTGAGGTTTGATGGCTAATAACACCACTTTTTGGAGGGGAGTAGTACCATAAAATTATATATCAATGAAAAGATAATTTAATCAAGAATGTAATGCAACAATGTTTGTTCAATTATCTGTACTGTATACTATGAAAAGTTATAGCCAAATAATCAGAAAAAGGAAGCACAACTTGCTTAGGTTGATATCAGGTAGCTTTCCTTCATCTGATTGTAGCCAATGAGCATGAGTGTTTAGGGAGCCAATTGGGTGTCATCTTGTTTTGGCAATTAGCCAATCAGATCACAGTAGGATTCAGTTATTGATGTCATGTATTAAAGCTGAGAGGAGGACATTTGTCAGTGTGTTATGTGATCGCTATCAAGTTGGTTGGTTTTTTGTGTGTTCTTTAGTGAGCTTGTAAAACGTAATAAAATTAAAGTAATGGTGCAAAGAGTTGACTGGTTGCCCAGAAAGCGATGTAAAAATAGTATTATTAAGTGAACAAGGCTACAGTTATAAAGAAATTAGAAGAAAAATGGGTGAAAACTTAACCAAAGGTGGCATTTCTACTGTACACTTTTCCCAGAAGGTTTCCACAATTTTGGCCACTACTGTATGTAGAAAATTCATGGCACGTCTGATTTACTTAACAGTAAAACTTGTCTCAGACTTCGCTCACTCAAACAACAGCTTGCAGTATGTTCACCATTCATTCCCAGATGTCTCTTGTGGAAACAGTCCTTCTTTCCAAGGGATCCAGGACACAGTATGAAATGTGTCAGGATTGCTACTGGGGACTTAAGGTCAATGCCTTCTTCATTCTCCAGCATTCTCATTGAAGTCTGCCCTGGGGTTGTTTGTAGGATCTCCTTCCTGTTGCTCAGAAATAGGGGCCAGGCTAGAAAGAAAGCTAGAGTTAGATTTAAAAATGTGATTTAAAACTTTACTTGACAGGTAAATAAGGCTTTAGAGATCTTGATTGAATAAAGATTAATCAAATATGTGAATTTAGTAAGAAGATGTTTTTCTGTATTAATATGCTTGTTGTGGATATAACAATTATTTGGATTGGATTTAAACTTTATTGAGTGGGTTAAAAGAGTTTTTTATAGATATAGATTGATTGATAGATTACAGATTTAAAATAGAGCAGAAATGTATTTTTTGGAGTAATATTCTTATTATTAGGAAGGATAGCTATTTTGTAATGGAAGGAGAATAAGAGGGATTTCTGATAAAAGGAAGAAATGGGATTAATAAATGAGTTACTAGATTGAAAAATAGAATACTTGTAGAAAATATAAGAACGTTATGGTTGAAATAATATGTATATTTTAGAGATAACGATTAGGTTAAGGAAAAAGGGAAAGGAGGGACACCTGAAGTATTAATAATATGTCTATCTAAAAGCCAAATTAGAACATGGTAATTGTAAATTAGTAAAGCTTAAAAACAGGATTTGGATCTATATAGATGAAATGTTATTGATGATTGCTCTGATTGATTGAATTTTATTGAAAAATACATTAATTTGAATGTATTATATTATTTGAGGGAAATAGAGAGGGAGTCTTTAATGTTTGGATGATTGATTACCCTATCACCATGTTGTTTCTCAAGCACCTTGTTGTAAAAATAAAAAAAATCAATAAAACTTGTTTAAAAAGAAATATGGGCCAGGCTATGCTCTGTGAAGAAGGAATCATCTTCCTCCTCCATATCATGTTTCACATCACATACTGCATTACATCAGCAGGCAATAATTGTTTATACAGAGTGTATAATGGTACCAGATTTAATTCTGGTGTGAGATTCCGCATTTTAAGCACTCCTTGTTATTAATTGATTCTTACTGTCTCCTTTCATTTCAGGGACCAAAGCAGTTTCCTTATCATAATACATATTTGGAGGACAGACCAGATCCCAATATTAAACCACTGTCAGAGAAGCACTATAAAATGTAAAGGTATCTGGAGCTGCAGGGGTTGTTTTGTTTTGTTTTGACCTTTGGTAGACCTATATTTCGTCTAATTCTTGTTTTAAAGATTGTCCTGGAAAAGCAATGATGCTTCTTTCCATGTGTAACCTGTATCCTATCACTTTGTTCATTAAAAAAAGGAGAAAAATTACAGAATGTTGAGTCATTATGCATTGGGCATGAGAAGTCTGAATGGTATAAAGAAAAGAAAAATAAATGTAATTATATATGCAAATGTATGATTTAATTGAGTCTTGCACCTATTAATTCTTCCTAGCAGTGGGAATATATCCTTGGGCTTCACTAAATATGCAAATCAGGGGTACAGTAATTTATGTTTGTGAATCCTTTTGAACTTTCAATATTTCTCCATCAATATGACCTAAAATGTAATCAGACTTCCACATAAGTCCTAAAACAAAATAAAGTAGCCAATTAAACAAATGAGTCAAAAATAACAGAAGAGAAGTCAAAAACATTATACTTGTTCATTTATTCATTGAGAAAAATTATTCAGAGCTACATATTTTTAAGCACCACTGTATCTCTTGCTTCAGGTTTAAGACCATATTTACTTGAAAGAATAACCCAGTAATAATTATCTGTTGGGTAAATGTAAAATAGACTGATTCTTATTTTAGGTACTTTTTAAAAAGCCATCACTTATATTGGTTATTGATTGCCTGTGCATTTTGGCCAGAGATCAATTTTAGGTTACGGTATAATCTAAATCAGTCTTTAGAAAAAGCATATACATTTTTCAGACACTTTGCTCTGTATAAGCTCAGCTTGCCTTCCCAAATACCAGAACGATAATCACAGACACACACACACAAGACCAAGCATTTGAGTAAGCATATTCAAATGTCACACCTGAGACCATGGAGTTTCTGAATCAAAAGTCAAATTCTAATCCCATCCCAGATGGTTATTATATACCGATTGTATCCCTTCTGTGTCTGAATTGCATGTTGAGTGGGCAGCCATTTCAATTATAATAAATAACTGAATTAAATAATTAAATTACTGCCTCTTCCCTTGATGAGAAAAGCTAAAAGTTCAAGATCACCACAGCTGTTCTAAATTCACAATGGATTGTTCTGAGCTTTGTACACTGTAGTAGTGCAATGGGTAGAGTCCAGTACTGCAGGCTACTTCTGCTGACTGCCGGCTGCCAGCAGTTTGGCAGTTCGATTCTCACCGGCTCAAAATTGACTCAGCCTTCCATCCTTCCGAGGTCAGTAAAATGAGGACCCAGATTGTTGGAGGCAATATGCTGTAAATCGCTTAGAGAGGGATGTAAAGCACTGTGAAGCGGTGTATAAGTCTAAGTGTTATTGCTAAACAATTCAAAATAGTCAGAATAGCATTGAAATGGCTCTGGTAAAGGAGATAGAATTTTTCTAAGCTCAAAACTATCCTGATTCAGTATTGAAAGGCTGGATAATTTTTCTCAATATTGGTCATTAAGTCGTTTGATCTCACCATCAGCTTCTAACAGACACAGCAGTTTCACATAAATTCCCTAGAGTTTAATTGAATTAATTAAAGGGAAAAACACGATGGTTTAAAAAAAAAATCAGCTAAATTATTCAAGACTGTAGAATGGAAAGAAATTATTCTCTTAAATTTGTTAACACTATATAAAATTATAATCAAAAGACTAAATTGAACGGGTTTGTTTAGATTGCTAATGCTTGATATAGCCAATAAGCAGATAGCTTATGTGTTACCTGGCATTGGATGTACCACAATAGCTTTTGTATGGTTTGAATTAGAAATTAATAGTCTTCTGCCTTTATGGCAGAAGCTCCAAAATTAAATTCTAGGAGCACAATTTATCAGAATGAGGATTTATACGAACTAGTCTGATGAATGAGAAAGATTGGCTATAGGGCAAATCCACGTTTGGCTCTTAGGAAGGCAGTTCTGATGTGTGAGTAGATTAAATGCCCAAATTAGGCCTCCAAATTATCTGCAACTATGTGAGACAAATTGTCTTTTGTTTTCAGGTAGTCCTCAACTTACAAACAGTTCATTTAGTGACCAAAATTACAACAGCGCTGAAAAAAGTGACTTATTACCATTTGTCACCCTTACAACCGTTGCGGCATTCTGCTGGTCATGCGATCAAAATTCAGACTCTTGCAACTGACTCATTTATGACGGTTGCAGTGTCCCCCTTTATGACAAATTCAACAGGGAAGCAGATTCACATAACACCTGTGTTGCTAGCTTAACAACTGCAGTCATTCACTTAACAACTCCAGCAAGAAAGGTTCATAAAGTGGGGTAAAATTCACTTAGCTATCCCAGCGACAGAAATGTTGGGCTCACTTGTGGTCAGGTCAAGGACTATCTGTATTTTAACCATCTGCATCGGGAATATTGAATAAAATAAAACTAGGTAAATCCCTTAAAAATATCACAAACATTATTAAGAAAAGTGCTTACAAAAGGTCTCTGTGTTGTTACAGAAAATAACAAACGAAAAGGATAATAAAATGAATTGGATTATCCTGCTTGGGCCCTTCCATGCAGCCAGTGGTCAGGTCATAGGCATCGTTCCTACTTGGCAATAAAGGTCAAACTTGGTGGATGTACTTTTTATCTTTTATTGTGCCGTTTCATTTTTGCTGTTTTCAAATAACACAGGCCTCGTCTTGTCAAAATTCCACTCAGCTGCACTTTTGTTGTTCAGCAGAGGGCAGTATCATTCTTTTAGTATTTGTCGCTTCCTTGAGTGATAGAAAGTGCTATGGGTTGGCAGGCTTTTGTTGCTTTCAAACAAAGATAATCACACAGCCAGATAAAGAATGTAGCAGTGAAGCAGCCTTCTCTTACTAACGAGAGAAATAATATATTAATGTTAACTAATATAATTTTGTTGTTGTTGTTAGTTGCGAAGTCATGTCCGACCCATCGCGACCCCACGGACAACGTTCCTCCAGGCCTTCCTGTCCTCTACCATCTTCTGGAGTCCATTTAAGCTCACGCCTCCTGCTTCAGTGACTCCATCCAGCCACTTCATTCTCTGTCGTCCCCTTCTTCTATTGCCCTCAATCTTTCCCAGCATTAGGCTCTTCTCCAGTGAGTCCTTCCTTCTCATTAGGTGGCCAAAGTACTTGAGTTTCAACTTCAGGATCTGGCCTTCTAAAGAGCAGTCGGGGTTGATCTCTTCTAGGACTGACCGGTTTGATCGCCTTGCAGTCCAAGGGACTCGCAGGAGTCTTGTCCAGCACCATAGTTCAAAGGCCTCAATTCTTTGGCGCTCAGCCTTTCTTATGGTCCAACTTTCACAGCCATACATAAATTAGTATTTGATTAATTACAAGATTTGTTGTTTTTTTACAAAATTTTATTTATAATACAATTAAAAAAACATTGGATATAACGTGACATTCCAGTATATACATTCTTATCAAATTATTCCACATTTTACAGTCGGTTCTTCATCTCTGAATATACATCTAAGTTTTATATACAGTACTTATTCTAAAATAGCATATATTTCTATCTTAACGCTAGTCTTTAATCCCAACCGTCCTTCTCGAATCTCTCCAGCGGTAAAATTTATCCCAGGTTTCGAAGTAAACTGATCCACATTTGTCTTTCAAAACCATTGTAAGCCTGTCCATTTCCGCCCATGCTAATATTTTATATAGTGACTCTTCCTCTGTGGGGATTTCTTTGCTCTTCCATTTTTGCGCAAATGCAAGCCTAGCTACAGTCAAGATGTGTAACAGCAAATAGATTGTTCCCTTATTGTATTTCTCTGTAGTTATTCCCAGCAAGAAGAGTTTCGGTTTTAACTCTAAGTCCAATATTAACATATCTCTCAACCAACTTCGTATCCTATTCCAATACTCAAGATTTGTTTTGAAATGGGAAAAAAACTGGGTCTTTAAGCAGGTGAGTGGCTAACGATGGACGGAGGAGACAGCAGAAGGGAGGAAGATCTCACAGATAAAAGAGATTAGATTGTTAGATTGTGTTAGACCAGGGGTCCTCAAACTTGGCCACTTTAAGACTTGTGGATTTCAACTCCCAGAATTCCCCAGCCAGCATGGCTGGCTGGGGAATTCTGGGAATTGAAGTCCACAAGTCTTAAAGTGGCCAAGTTTGAGGACCCCTGTGTTAGACTGAACAGATCTAACAGATGAGGAAGAGTCAGGCAGGCTTAGGGGATAGAAGATGGTGATGTTGGAGACAAGAAGAGGGAAGCTCAACACCTCTTGAAGTTGGATGTTTGACTAAGCTGGGAACCTGAGTTCTATTAGCTGAATTCTGCATTCATTTATTAGGCCTCACGGATTGCAATATGTTTGTTATTTGAATCTCACTTAAGCCCAAGGCAGAATCTTGAAATCAAGTGTTCTTCTGTTTTTCCTTGCTAGGGAAAACATGATTCAACATCTCTTTTTCAAATCTGATCGACTCAGCTGGGAACTTGAGTTCTAAAAGTAGAATTCCGTATTCAGTGCAAGAGGCGCCATATGGAATGGAAAGTTATATCTTTTGAGTCTTTTTTAAGTCAAAGAGAGAATCTTGAAACCAAATAGTTTCCCCAGTTCTGCTTTGTAGACAACTGTTCCAAGCAAAAAGAAAAAAAGTAACAGACACATTAAAGTATATCTCTGAAACCTCAATGAAACTACCGAGAAAGCAGTAAGCAGAAGTGCTTTGGAGAAGCTGCTACTTCATTCTTCGGTGGAGTAGAGCTGTAGAGAAGAAAGGTGACCTTAATGGTGAACACAGTAACCATTACCTAGGCCAGTGGTGGCGAACCTATGGCACAAGTGCCAGAGGCAGCACTCGGAGTCCTATCTGTGGGCACACGTGCCGTTGCCCCAACCTTGCCTCCACCCGTGACCCCCTCCTCACCAGCAGCCTCCCTGGAGGAGAGTCACCCCTGAGCATGGCCCACACAAAGCAGCACAGCCAAGGACATGGCAGCCACACAGCGTAGACAAGACTCTGCCCTCACGCTCCAACGCGCACAGTTGATGCTGTGGGGGGGTGGGCAGAGGGCGTGGCCGCCATGGCACTGCTGGGCTGCCTGGGCGATCGGCGGGCCCTGGAGGTGGTGAGTGGCCCTGCGGGTAGGCAGGGTGGGGCGGAGTGGGGGTGGGGCAGGGAGGTGGGGCATGGGTAGGGGCAGGGCAGGGGGTGGAGCAGGGGCGGGGCCAGTTTTTGGGCACTCGGTCTCTAAA